CATAATTCATCAATCGAATTAACTGGAGTTACCTAAATCAGCTCCTTAACATGTACCCAAGTGTGGAAATCCAGAGGATTTAAGTCCGGTGAACAGGCGGGCCACTGGATTGGACCACCACGTCCAATTCACCGTCTAGGGTATGTCATATTTAAATAATCTCTTACTTGTCGAGCGAAACAGGCCGGAGCGCCGCCATGATGGAATCAAAGGCTCCTCCGCACATCCAATGGTACTTCATCTAACAAGCTGTTTAAATTATCCATTAAAAAATTAAGGTAAGACTGGTCATCTAGTCTATTTGGTAGCCTAAAAGGACCAAGAGCCAATAACGCCAGCATGAATGTTAATTGAAAACTCATGCTCATGCAAACATTGGTCTTAAGGTGCAAAGTACGCATAGCAAATTTGAAATAGAAATGTTCAGGCATTTTGGAATTATTGCAGACAATGTTTAATTTTACAGAAACTTTGACGCCCTGTATCTCGTTAAGGAGGCATTTGCGACCCTATGTTTATTAAAACTTTTCGTCTTAATTTTTTATGTATTATCTACCCTAGAAGTCTGTCAGCGGTTTTTTGAATAACCCTGTATATACGTACGTTATAGTATACAGGGTGGTCCAGATTTTAATGGACAAACTTCGGGAAAGGACTAAACAACAAGAATTAACATCACTTTGCTCTATGAACATAGGCGCAGAAAGCCACCGTTTATGAGATACAGGGCGTTGAAATTATTAATAATAAAACATTTTTTTTCGAATATTTCTCCTAGTTCTGTAAGCACACAGTTCAAATTCAAAAACCAGTGGCGGAGAAACAATTAAGTTGTTTCCTTATTTAGAGTAAAACTTCTACGCTACTGAATTAATTGGCAATATGAATACATTTTATAATGGTCTGAAATATTCCGGATGAAAAAACACGCATTTATTTTTGTCGAAAAGTGAATGGTTTACGAGTTATGAGTCATATTATGATGCGGTTTTCCAGATATTTAAAATAATTATTTTATTTTTGTTAATTTCAACGCCCTGTATCTCATAAACGGTAACTTTCTGCGCCTATGTTCATAGAGCAAAGTGATCTTAATTTTTGTTATTTAAAACTTTCCCGAAGTTTGTCTGTTAAAATCTGGACCACCCAAATTTGTTTCATTTTTCCCGATTTCAACGCTTTGTTTACTTGAATAATCAACTCATAACTCGTAAACCATTCACTTTTCGATAAAAATAAAATAATATTTTTTCATCCGGAATGTTTCAGACCATTATAAAATGTATTCATATTACCAATTAATTCAGTGGCGTAGAAGTTTTACTTTAAATAAAAAAACGACATCTTTGTTTCTCCGCCAATGGTCTTTGAATTTGAACAATGTGTATACAAAACTAGGGGAAATATTTGAAAAAAAAATGTGTACCAAATTTGGATAAATTTGATAAAGCCGTTTTCCAGATATTTAAAAAAATTGTTTTATTTTTGTTAATTTCAACGCCCTGTATCTCATAAACGGTGGTTTTCTGCGCCTATGTTCATAGAGCAAAATGATGTTAATTTTTGTTGTTTAGTAGTTTCCCGAAGTTTGTCTATTAAAATCTGGACCACCCTGTATA